TATAGTTGGAGACGTAAAATCGCATGCGCAATTTATAGGCAGATAACAGTTTCGATGCATAACCGTGTTGAAGACTATACTGCTACATCGTTGGGGGCAGAAACCACTCGAAATTGATACTCCTTAATCAGTAGAAAATTCCAAGATTTTGTTTTCTAGCCGTGAACCTTCAACGAGATAAACCTACCGGCAAAAATACTTAAATTACGTTAGCTTTATTGATCAACTGAAGATCGAAAAATTTCACTGCAGCATTGAGGTACATTCATAAGAGGATGTAAGATTTTAGTGTCAGTTATTGGCTTCGGAGTTGTAATTTCATCTCAAAGAGATTACTCTAGATCGAACTCTAGATTACTCCAACGGGCAAGAATATCAAGCAAAACTTTTCATAAGAGTTTCCATTAGAACATATATCAGCTTTATTATCAAAACAATATTATGAATATCACATTTTTGTTGAGTTAGTTACAAATTATACAATGTGGAACTTTATTGGTGTTAGTATTTTGCAAAATTATTCAAATTGGCAGTGTAATTGGCAAGTGGAATTGCATTATTCACATGGATGATTATTAATTAATGATAGTCCCTGATAAGTTAATGTCATAATGATACTTTCTAGTGTTCGCAGTAGTGTTTGCAATGGGTTTCAGAATCCAAGCTCTGGAGTCCTAACCTTGATAAGCATCTTGTGAAACAGGATTTCGGGATTCGATAGAACATGGTATTTTATATAATTTTGGCTATATATTATCTTAAAATACATCACTCATTCTCAGTTCGTTTATTCAGCTGTATTTGTTTTTCACTACCCAAGCGGCAATGGAAGGATGAAGCATTACATAATGGCACCACATCGGCTTTCGTTTGCTGGAAAGCAGGGGAGCAATTTCACAATGTCATCACTTATATCTAGTCTTTCGTTATCGATGTTACGTTGTCTTCCGTTTATGATCGTTCTTCAATCCCTCATAATCCCGAGATTGAAAAACGATCTCAGGATTTAAACATGTGCCCAGTATTAAATTTTGGTCAGGATTTTGCAAACAGTAGCTTATCCTTCATTCATGATAAAATTCTAAAGCTCTTGCAGACTCGAAACTCGAAAGTTCAGTACTCTCTCTAGATTTGATAGTGTTGATATAAGGCAACTCTTGACGGTGAGTTCGTGTTTAAAGGGACTGATCACGGTTGAGACGCACTCTAGCGAGGTGATGCGTGAGAATAAATGAGTGAACAAATTAAAGATCAATTGTGAAGTTGTGCATTGACTGAAGTAGAACTGTAAATTTTGTTTCTTGGCGATTGTTTGGTGACACCACTACTAGATTATTGATATCAGTAGGATTGCTATTGACAATCTTTAGCATCTTCTGCTCACTTGATTGCGGTTTTGGATGTGTTCCTTCACATTTCCATTCGCAAATCGCTAAATTCTCAAAGTTATTCCGACTCAACGATCGACACCCATCGTTCCAATACATTTGACACTTTCGAGTGTCTCGATTGAAATAGTATCTGGATTGCCATTCACCATAGCCACACGACTGCGTTAGGTTCACATCGAACTGGTCCAAACATTCCACTTAAATCATACAAAAAACTTTATCGCGTTGATTGAAATCATTGGAAAATCTGAATTTGGATAGCGAGGGGATTTCAGAAGGCTTTAGTCCATAGGCAGATAAGTAGAGCAAGTTCAATGTAGTGATAGATCATCTAAGACATTTTTATCATTCATGAAACCACCCAGGTTCTAGTTTCAGGCATTGCCGAGTCATGCATTATTTTTTTCAAACTGCATACCTGCTACTGCTAGAGTTGTCGCAAATTGTAAGCTGAACTGTTGACCAATGTCAAGCTTCGCCACTTCTGTGTCATCCAAATTTGCTCGAACGGGTGCTCTTGACGGCTCAAGAGCTGCCGCTTCTTTAGATGCTGCACTGTGGCCTTCGCTAATCGCATTGCTTTTCACATCGCCGAAAGTTGGCCCAGCTCTCGATGGTGACACACTCGGCTCACTAATGCCCAGCACTGGATATATCTGAAATAAGAAGTTTCTTCGGTTTTCAATCGCGAATTGAATTTTTCCAACAGCATTTGTGAATGTGCTATCAAAATTTGTTACTTTACCTGTTCTGTTAGTGAAAGTGCCAGGATATTATAGTTAAATGGTTACTTCTTTCAGAATTTACCTTTCTTCTCAACTTATCACATTCAGAGCTACAGAGTCCAGTTAAATCAAATAGCTTAATATTCCTACGATGCCACTATTCCGGATACTCTAATC